TCTTCCTGTGTGAAGCGCCAGACCCATTCACACTATGAAACGATGATGATGATGTATGTTCAGGGCTGCATTACAACATTGATTGTTCGGATCACTGGTATCTAAGTCTTCCGCTGTGCTATCTTATACTTTTTATTGAAAGGTCGGTTCTTGTTCTGGTCTGCACCTATACGGTATGCAACAACGGTCTAGGGGACCACCTCACCGCCTTGGCCGAGTTCGCCCCAACTGTATGCCTAAGTTGGAGCATGGCCTTTCTCTCAATCAGCCTTTCCCCATCACCAACAGATACCATTCGGATCCCGCAGCGGCGCCAAAGCAGACCCTAGGGCTGCCGGAAGGCCAGCAAGAGGCCTCGATGGTCCAAGTGGACCACCTCACGGCTTCCACCAATGTCCACCTGCAAGTGGACGAGTACTTTGCTCTCCCGTGCAGCAGCTTCCCCTCAACGAGCACACACAATGCGCACACACCGTGTCAATACATGCGCATATACCAGGTTCCCCCCTTCGCTGAGCCTTGTCCCACCACCCCACGAAGGAGGTGACCGGGCCCAGTGCTAGCTAACCAGCTGAGGCTATGCAACACTAGGCCCTAGCAGTAACTAGGACCAACGTGCTACTGCGTAGACTTTGCCTAGTAGTACGCTCAGCTCACTCACGTCGTGGACCACCTCTCCCAACTCACTTACACCTTGCATGCTCACAGCTCACATCTGCGGTCGGCAAACAAGCAGCCACTTATATTTACACATGCACATGGGCTGGCTTGACTTCCCTTGCTAAGGCAGCAACCTCGGCACCTTTCCCACGGTCTTTCATACTCACACCGGTTCTTTGCTTCCTCCCATAGTACTGAAGATTCCAGTCTACTGCATTTCCATGTGTATGCCTTTTGCTTGATGAGTCTGATGCGATCGCGTACATGTCGTCGAGTTCAGACATAACCAACTTCCGGATAAGCCCAAAACTCAAACCAAATCCAGCTATGATCCCTGTTCCTGTTGGTGAAAGAGGCTCCTTTCCCACAGACTTTCATACTCGCACCAGTTTTTTATTTCCTCCCATAGTACTGAAGAATCCAGTCTCCTGCAAGTGCTCGAGTCCTGTGTCTGCAAAGATCCCTGATAATTTTTTTATGGTGTGCTATTTCTACATTTTGCAGATTGTGAAAGACTGTCTTCGGGAGAGAAAACTTCGGCCAACCATGCATGAGGTTCTTCACAGGCTTGAAGAGTTGTCAGCGCAGGGATTGTAAGCACAGCTCTCTGTTCCTATACATCACTTGTCCCTCAAAAAGAGTCGAGAGTTATCAAAACTTTATGTAACCCTGACCGTTGGTTTCCATTGAGTCGATCAGGATTTGGACTCGTGGTCTGTTCCTTAGCAGTTACATGAGTGTACCATTCAGACAAATGTGCTGGGTGATTGTGTCTGTTTGTCACTGATAGATTGGTGCCTTGTCTACAACCTCTCTAAATTCTAATTCGGGTCGAGGGTGACAGGATTCGCACAACTGGCTGGGCAGGGTTGGTCCAAGTACTGACCCACCATTCGGCAGGTCAAACTGATTGGTTGGGCTGATCAACTGGTGGGCTGGTGCTCAGGCCTCCCCCACCCTTTTCTTCTGGTTTGTAAACTTGCCCAGGCACAATTATATTTTGTGTTCTTTTGTGCCTCAGCATGGTGTGTGTCATGACTCCCCACACAAGCAGACATACAAACAATCAGACACACACATACACACACACACACACACACACACACACACAGAGAGAGAGAGAGAGAGAGAGAGAGAGAGAGAGAGAGAGAGAGAGAGAGAGAGA